TATGCCTAAGGAATAACTAAGAGTTAATCTGACAAGGAAAGAAAATACATTTGGTCATTGTGTTGTAAGAGTGCTCTCTAAAAACAAGCCTCATAACAAGCTTCGGCACCCAGCTTTAACTTTGTTACAATATCTGTTAACAAATCTGGTTAGTTCACATACTCTCTACTCCGTCTATAGAGTAGGTTTAGGCTGGACATTAGAAATAACTTCTTCATGGTTAGGGTTGCCAGAATCTGGAATGGGCTTCCAGGGGAAGTGGTGCTCTCCCCTACCTTGGGAGTTTTAAGAGGTGGCTAGACATGCACCTGGCATGGGTCGTCTGACCCCATTGCTTTTTCCTGCCCAGGGCAGGGGGTTGGACTCGATGTCTACTGAGGTCCCTTCTGACTCTAACATCTATGAATCTATGCTCAGTCAGTCCTATGCCCTGTATTTAAAAATTGTGGCAGCAATCTATTTTTAACTTACAGCGGCTGGATGGGCTGATGTCCATCACTGACACAGTAGGATTGTTTGTGTCACTTCCCCTTCTTCTCATTCGGTTATCTTAGGGGCTAGCACAACATGGCCCACAGGCCGAATCCAGCCCAGCAAGCACTTCCATCCAGGCTGCAGCCCTCACCTCAACAAACTGTACTCCACCCAGCCCTTCCACTGAGAGCGTGGGAGCAAGGGATCCACATGTACACCCCCCACAAATGTACCCAATTAAGCCTTGTTCCCACCCTCATGCGAGGCTGCTACTATCACTGGAGAAGGGCCCCTGGGGCCCTTCTCCGATTCACCAGTCTCATGCTGGATCCGGGCAGCAGGTCAGGAAGCTGCAGAGGCAGGGCCGCAGCAGCTGAGTGTGGGCATAACTGCTGAGTGTGGGGCTAGTGGCAGCGCGGAGCCTGAGCCAGGGTGGTGGTGGGGGAGGGGTTGGTGGCAGTGCTCAGCTGGGCAGCATGTGGGCATAAGAAAGGGTGGGTGGCATGGGGACCTCCACACCGTGGTGCGCAGCCCTGGCAGATGATAGCAGCAGCAGCAGCTGAGGTGCAGCTCCTGCCAGCACTGCACACTGCGGTGAGGGGCACAACCTCCACTGTCTGTCTGTATTGCGTGCAGGAGCCAGCCGCCTTCCCCACCGCCCAGCACCTGAGGCATCGCTCCTGTGCCCAGCCCGTGCAGGGGCTGTGCGTGTGTGGCAGGGAGCACTGGCGATACAGACAGCCTAGTGGACATTTCGCCTCTCGCTGCAATGTGCAGTGCTGGCCGGAGCTGTGCCCTGCCGGGCGCCTGCACCCTGAGTGCCTTGTCCGCTGATGCTGTGCCATGGGGGGAGTGCCCCAGCATGCCCCACCCATGTCTGCCAAGGCCCCACCCCAATACATTTGCATACACCCCCAACCCCAACCCAAACCACTCACCTCTCTGATCAGGCCCTGCAGGGGCAGGCTCAGGCCTGGGCTCCTCGTGGGTGGGGGCCATGGGCTCAATCAGACCAAGGCAGGTACCATCCCCATCACAGTGCTGCAGCAACCCCTGCATGTTCTCATCCAGCTGGTAGGGAAGAGGAGGTTGTGGGGGGGAGATGGTGGGGGTCAGGTGACCCATGCATCTAGGCTCCCAGCTCCCCCCCAACCTCACCCCAGTTTCAAGCCCCCCAACACTCTCACCCCCCAGCCTCCACTCCTCCCAGAGAACCCAAGCACCCGGGCTCCCAGCCTGCTTTGGGAGGGCACCCCACCAATCTGCTGCAAGGCCTCATCTACCTGCTTCCTTTTGTTGCACTGCAGGTCCTCCACCAAGGACTTCATTTCCAGCAGCTTCGTTTTTGATTTCTTCACTGTGTCGTGCAGCTTCACGAACTGCCGGGGAGAGAGCGGAAACTGAGTCCTGGATCAGGGTCCTGAAGCCCCAGCCCCTGGATGCAGCTAAGATGCAGCCAAATCCAGGGCTGAGGCAGCAGGGAATGGCTGGGGCTGGGCAGCGTGGGAAAATGGGCCCCACCTCCAGTGAGATGCGACAGTACTTCTTCAGCACATACTTCGTCTCCTTCAGGTCCTGGTTTGAGCCTTTTGGCCCCTCATCTAGCAGCTCCAATTCCTCTGGGAGGTGGGGGAAGGGGCAGGTCTGAGAACCCAGGTATCTGGACTCCCAGGTCCCCTAGTCTCATCTCCCAGGCCCCTACCTCCCAGACAACCCAAGTGTCCAGCTTGCCCATTCCCATAGGATCCTACAGGATACTCAGCGTAGCCTACCCTGCCTGGGACCCAAGCCCCACAGCCAGCCCTGCCCCACAACTGCACAAGCCCCACCCATATCTTCATAGGCCCCGCCCATCCCCTTAGCTGCTTCGGCTCCACCCACCCGAGGGCCATGCCCTAGTACACCCCACCCATATCTACACAGGCTCCACCCCCAACCAGACCCCGCCCTCATCTTGCTCACCTCTCTGGCCTGGCTGATCCAGCTTGGGCCCCGGGGATTTGGGCCAGGGCTTCTTGGGGGTGGGGGCCACCAGCTCAGCTGGGCTGGGGCAGATCTTGTTCCTGACACAGAGCCACAGCCTCCACATGTTCTTCTTCATCTGGGGATGGTATGGTGGGGGTCAGAGGACCCAGGCATCCAGCTCTCCCCACCTCATCCCAGCCCCCACTTCTCCCAGGGAACCCAGGCATCCCGGTTCCCAGCCTCCCCAGGGAAGTGGGGGAGGGGAAACCCCCACCTGCTTTAAGGCCTTGGCCAGGTGCTTTTCGAGCTTCTTATCCCTCTTGTACTGACTTCTGATGTCCCGTTGGAGGTTCTCCACTGTGGTCTCCATATCCGGCGACTTGGTCTCTGAGCAGTACATCTCATCCTGCAGCTCCACGTGCTTCTTGATGTCCTGTTGCAGGTTCTTCACCGTGGCCTCGATGTCCCGCCCTGTGGTCTCTGAAGATATCACCTTATCCTTCAGGTCCCAGTACTGCCGGGGAAAGGGGTGGGGGAAGAGGGGGAGAGGGTGAGCCAGACCCTGGATTGGGGCCCCTGTGCCCCAGCCCTGGGTGCAGCCAAGAAGTGGGGGAATGAGTTGGGCCCCACCTCCAGAGCGATGGAGCAGGTCTCCTTCACCAGTTGCGCGGCCAGGTCCTGCAGGTGCTGGTTCTTCTTCATCAGGTCCTGGTTCGAGCTTTCCAGCCTCTTGTCCACCTGCTCCAACTCCTCTGGGAAAGGGCAGGTTTGATTGCTCAGGTGTCCGGGCTCCCAGCTTCCACTGCTCTTGTCTCCCAGATCCCAACCCTCCCAGAGAACCCCGAGGTCTGGACTCTCAGCCCCACCCATCCCAGGGGACCCAGGTGCTCGCCCACTCCTGTAGGACTCCAGCATCCGGGCTCCCAGCTCCCCACTCCCAGAGAACTGGGGTGTCTGGGCTCCCAGCTCCACTATCATCCAGGTGCCCTACGCATCTCCTCCCCACAAGCAACCCAGGTGTCCCAACTAGGCCATGCTCCCAGCCTGCTCACCTCTCTGGTCAGGCACCTTTGGCTTGGGGGCAGGCTTCAGCTTGGACCCCAGGGGCTTCGGCCTGGGCTTCTTTGGGGTGGAGGCCATGGAGTCAGCCAGGCGAGGGGGACTCCCATTCCCATCACAGTCCTGCAACAGCAGAAAATTTGTCACATCGCTGGAGAGGTATGCGGGAAACCAGGGGACCCAGGCATCCAGGCTCCCATCACAGCTCCCAGCCCGCCTGCTCTCAGCCCCAAGGCCCCACTCTTCTCCCAGAGAACCCAGGTGTCTTTCTGGACTTCAGGAAGGCCTTTGACACCGTCTCCCACCCCATCCTCATTAAAAAGCTTGATGACCACGGCATTGATGCCTACAGTCAGATGGGTCGCAAATTGGCTGGAGGGCTGTACCCAGAGTGGCGGTGGATGGGTCATTTTCGACCTGGAGGGATGTGGGCAGTGGGGTCCCCCAGGGCTCGGTCCTTGGGCCCGCACTGTTCAATTTCTTTATTAGTGACTTGGATGAGGGGGAGAAAAGCACCTTGTTCAAATTCACTGACCACACCAAACTTTGGGGCGGGGTGGGCACGCTAGAAGGGAAGGACAGAATAAAACTGGACCTGGACAGGTTACAGGGGTGAGTGAATGAGAATAGGATGGGATTCAATATGGACAAGTGCAAGGTGCTGGACTTGGGCAGTAAGAACTAGCAGCATACCTACAGGCTGGGTACAGCCCTCTCATCAGCACGGTGGCAGAAAGAGATCTTGGAGTCATTATTGAGTCCAAAATGAACATGGGCCACCAATGTGAGGGTGCAGTCAGGAAGGCCAACTGCACCTTGTCATCCATCCACAGATGCATCTCGAGCAGGGCCAAGGAGGTGATCCTCCCCCTCTATGTGGCACTGGTCAGGCCGCAGCTGGAGTACTGCGTCCAGTTCTGGGCACTGCACTTCAGAAGAGATGTGGACAGCATGGAGAGGGTCCAGAGGAGGCCACTCGCATGATTGGGGGCAGCAGGGCAGGCCCTACGAGGAGAGGTGACGGGACCTGAACCTGTTCAGCCTCCACAAGAGAAGGCTGAGAGGGGATCTAGTGGCCCACCAGGGGGGACCAGAGGGGAACGGGAGAGTCCCTGTTGCCCCCCAAGCACTCCCAGGAGTAACAAGGAATAACAACCACAAGTTGACCAAGCATAGGTTCAGACCAGACATCAGGAGGTGCTACTTCACTGTCAGGGCAGCTAGGATCTGGAACCAACTTCCAAAGGAAGTGGTGCTCGCTACCTTAAGGGTCATTAAAAGCAGGCTGGATAACTACCTAGCTGGGGTCACACGAGCTTAAACTTACCACGGGTCATATGAGCCCAGCATTTATTCCTGCCACAGCAGGGGGTCAGACTTGATGATCTGGTCAGGTCCTCTCCGACCCTACATCTACAAACCTATGAATCTATGAAACCTTGCAACCTGGAGGAAGGACTGTCAGCGGTGGTGCTACGGAAGGAAGAGGGCAGGAGAGTGGAAGCTTGTATTGTGGGGAGTTAGGAGAAGTCGCCATCCCCACGCAGGGCCGTCCCGTCGGAAGAGGAAATGAGGGTGGGGGCAGTTGGAGACTCCCTTCTGCGGGGACAGAGGGATCCATGTGCCGTGTCCCAGGAAGTCTGCCGTTCGCCCGGATCTCGGACGTCACGGAGGGATTACCGAGACTCATCTGGGCCTCTGGCTACTCCCCCACGCTGCTCGTCCAGGCGGGCACCAGTTGGCATGGATTCACCATACACCCCGTGATGGGGGGCTGGGGCCGTGGACACCGGGAGAGCAGTGGACGCCGTACGTACCTTTCCTGGGGAGGGCAACTTGATGGCGGGACGCACAGCCTCCTCCTCCTCCCTTGACACCTTCTTCCCCGGGGACCCCACGGCCCCGTCGGCTGCTGCCCGCTTCACCCCAGCCCTTGGTGGGGAGGCCATGGGGAGTCTCTGCTGGAAGGGCGAGAGAAGACGGCGAGTGACCTTGCCCGGGGTGGGGGGGG